ATGATTTAATTTGTTTTATTTTTATATTTTAATGTTTTTTTATATTTTAATGTTTTATTTTTATATTTAAATGCTTTATTCTGAATTTAAACGCCGCATTCGGCGCTGGCGGCTCCGGATTCCGCGAGACGGGCAGCGGCAGCCGGTGCGTGGGGTGTATGGACACCTGGACCGCGCGGCCTTCGACCGCCGAAACCCTCGCGACTCGGCGAATTCATTTCATTTTTTGAATTAAATTGGAAATAGAAGTCGAAATTTGCGGAATTGAAAGCGAAAAAGGGGCTTTTTGCCGCGCTTTCCACCCCAGACCGCCGCCCGAAGCCGCGAAACCAGCAGCCGCCCGAGGGGGGTATTCCCGGGGTTCGCGGGGAGATCTGCGTGGCTTTTTGCGTTCTTTTGAACTATTCGGAGTTGTTTTTGTTTTTAGTTTTTGTTTTTAGTTTTTGTTTTAAAAAAGAGAACTTTAATTTTCTGCATTTGGGTCCCAGAGGCTGCAGCCCGCGCTGGCGCTTTCCGCTGTCTTCCAGGCCGCGGGACTGCCGGGGCCGTCGTCTCTGTTGAAACGCGCGGATTTTTCTTCTTTTTTGTTTGCAAAAATAATAAAACAAATTATTTGATTTCTTTTATTTTCAAAACGCCGAAATTCCGGCGGCTCCGCGCAGAACCGCCGCGGCGACGAGCGACGCCGGACGCCGGCGGCGAGGTGTACGTACACCCCAGCCCCTGCGCCGGCCTTCTTTGCTTTTCTTTCGAAACCAAAAAGACACTTTTAATTCTTTTTCTTTTCTCTTTCCAGTCAGCTTCTTGCTGCTGCAGTATCTGTCCTCCTGAGGGGCTGCTGCTGCTCTTCTTCCCGAAGCCGCGCTAATGAAATGCAGCAAACTGCAGCTTCTGCTTCCTCCCCTTTTGCTGCTGCAGCGCAGCACGCAGCCCCCTGCGCTGTACGTACACCGCCCGCCGCAGCAGCAGCAGCAAGCCTCCCTCTTTCAGCAGCAGGAGGAAGATTTGCAGAATTCCCCAATCTCCATTTCCCGCCTCTAATCAGCCCCCCAGCTTCCGCGCCTCTGCTGCAGCAGCAGCCGCTGCAGCAGCAGCAGCTGCAGCAGCAGCAGCTGCAGCAGCTGCCGCAGCAGCTGCCGCAGGAGCTGCAGCAGCAGCTGCCCTGGGAACTGCAGCAGGAGCTGCCGCAGCAGCTGCAGCAGGATCTGCAGCAGGTGCTGCCACAGGAGCTGCCGCAGCAGCTGCAGCACCCGCACGTTCATCAGCAGCCGCACCTGCACCAGCAGCAGCAGCAGCAGCAGCCACAGCAGCAGCAGCAGCCTGGCCTGGACCAGCAGCAACAGCAGCAGCAGCAGCAGCAGCAGCCGCACCTGCACCAGCAGCCTCACCTGCAGCTGCAGCAGCCCCTGCAGCAGCAGCCGCACCCTCACGAGCAGCACCAGCAGCAGCACCTGCAGCAGCAGCACCACCACCAGCACCAGCAGCAGCACCTGCAGCAGCAGCCGCACCCTCACGAGCAGCAGCAGCAGCAGCTGCAGCAGCAGCAGCAGCAGCAGGGCTGCTGCTGGGGCCTGTGGGGCCTGCGGTGTCCGTTTGTGGGGTACGACCCGCTGCTGAACATGTGGGTGGTGGCGATTTTGCTGACAGCAAATTCGAAGTTGGAAAGTCCGGACTTTTCGGACTTTTTGCGAAATTCAAATTTTCAAAAAAGTTTTAATTTTCAAAAAAGTTTTAATTTGCAAAATAATTTAAATTTGCAAAATTCAAACTTTTTGTTCTTTTCCAAATACTGCGTCCGCAAAAGGGGCTTCGAGGGCGCCCGCCGCAAGGCCTTTGCGGCCTGCCGCCGCCTGCTGCAGCAGCAGCAGCACGCCCGCTGCAGCCCCCCTGCTGCTGCTGCTGCTGCTGCTGCTGCTGCTGCTGCGGACCGCGCAGCAGCAGCAGCAGCAGCAGCAGCAGCGGCGGAGGCGCAGGGCGGGGGAGACGCCGCCAGCGAGGAAGCTGGCAGCGGCCCCTCCATGTTCTTCTCGAGAGCCAAAGAGGTGCTGCTGCTGCTGCTGCTGCTGCTGCTGCTGCTGCTGCTGCTGCTGCATGCACAGTTAGGGTTTGGGGTTTAGGGTTTAGGGTTTAGGGTTTTGACTTTGCTGCAGGCCTGGTGCACGCAGTGGTATGAAGGAACCAAACGCGCCTTCAAGTCCTTTTCCTGCAGAGTGAGCCGCGGCGCGGGCTAGGGTTTAGGGTTTAGGGTTTAGGGTTTGTGAGTTTGTATTTGATGTTTAATTGCAAAAGGGTTTTAATTATTTATTTAAATTTGTTTTTATTTCTTTCCTCCGCTGGCCCTCGCAATTCCGGTGTATCGACACCCCCTGGGGTGTCTGCGGAGCCGAACTGGCGAATCGGTGGACTAATTCTGCGGAATTGGCCGGAAAAGAAGAATTAATTGATTAAATTTGATGAATTTGAATGAAATTTGAATTAAATTTGCATTAAATTGGAATTAAATTGGAATTAAATTCGAATTAAATTCGAATTAAGAGCCGTTTCGCGCCTGCGCGCTCAGGTGTACGGCGGCCAGGCGGAGCCGCTGTGTCGGTGGTTTTTGGGATTTGTCCGCCGCGGGGGCCGCAGGCCCTCCACTGTGGAATTAGAACTCCAATATGCGCGACTTTGTTCTTTTTCGGACTTTAAATCTCCAAAAAAGGACTTTTTCCCGCAAAGTTCTGCCAAAAAACTCCCCAGAGTTTGGGGTGTACAGACACCCGGGGCCCCCCCCGCTGTCTGTACACCCCAGACGCGCCGCTCCCCAGCGCCTCCGCGGAACTCCCAGAAGTTCATTTCCTCTTTTTTGGACTCCGAGGGATTCTTAACAGAGGCTGCCGCAGGATTCAGCCTCCAGCAGCAGCAGCAGCAGCAGCAGCAGCAGCAGCAGCAGCAGCAGGAGGCGCATGGAGAGACCAGTGGTCAGTCCGCCGCTGCAGCTCTCCATCAGCGGCAGCTCTACGGCTTCGCAGTGGCCAGCCCGGCAAATCCCCAGGAGGCAGAGCTGCAGCAGCAGCAGCAGCAGCTGCAGCTGCAGCAGCAGCAGCAGCAGCAGCAGCAGCAGCAGCAGCAGCCTCTGTATTGCCACTGAATAGAACCAGCATTGAGAAGCCAGGCGATCTGTCGGCTTTCAATTGAAAATCTTTTTAAGTTCTTTTGTTTATTGTTGCCCGAAGATAAATGGAAAAGAGACCAGCAGCAGCTGCTGCTGCAGCAGGAGTTTCTGCTGCAGCTGCTGCAGCTGCAGCAGGAGTTCCTGCTGCTGCTGCTGCTGGTCCAGTTTCTGCTGCTGCAGCAGCAGCTGCAGCAGATCCATCCCCAAGGCAGCGCAAGTTGCGCTGGGGGCATAAGCACTATCTTCAAGGTCGTAAACAGCAGCAGCAGCAGCAAGAGCAGCAGCAGCAGCAAGAGCAGCAGCAGCAGCAAGAGCAGCAGCAGCAAGAGCAGCAGCAGCAGCGGGGGGCGTTGCAGCTGGTGGCTGCTGCAGCAGCAGGTGCGCAGCTGCTGCTGCAGGGGGAAAGCAAGAGGGATAAAAGTTGGCTTTTCTTGGTTTTGCAAACTTGGAAAAAGTTTTATTTTATTTTAATTAATTTTAATTAATTTTAATTAATTTGCATGCATGCAGCTTTTGTTTTTCTTTTTGCTGCTTCCACTGCTGCTGCTTCCACTGCTGCTTCTGCGTCTTGGCAGCGCTGAATGTTTATTCGTCTTCCTCTCACAACAAGTCCCGTTGCTGCTGCTGCTGCTGCAGCAGCAGCTGCTGCTGCTGCTGCTGCAGCTGCTGCTGCTGCTGCTGCTGGGGTTGGTTCTGCCCCAGTTGCGGTGTACAGACACCGCAGGCAGCAGCAGCTGGAGAGGAGTTTTTAAATTGATTTCTTTTGGGATTTCTTTTTGTTTATTTTTGCGTGAAGAAAGATGAAAAGCTTTTCGAAAACAATTTGCTGCTGCAGCTGCTGCAGCAGCAAATTGCTGCTGCTGCTGCTGCAGCAGCAGCAAATTGCTGCTGCTGCAGCTGGCAAAAGGGCTTTTGAAGAAGTCCATCCAACAATTAATTTAATTCAAATTCATTTTGCTTCCAAACTTTCTCGAATTGCAAGATTCGAAATAATTAAAAAATAATTAAAGTTTATTTTGCTTCTCGGTTCTTTCCACGAGAAATGATTTTAATTGTTACTTCTAGAAGACGCAACTCGAATCTGCTGCTGCTGCTGCTGCTGCTGCTGCTGCTGCTGCTGCTGCTGCGAAAAAGGAAGCAGCGGCGATTGGCCGCAGCATTTTGCTGATTCGGGAAAGTGTTGCGCATGCAAGAAAAAGAATAAAAGTGGAAAAGAAAAAGAAAAGAATTTAAATAAAAGTGGAAAAGAAAAAAAGAAAAGAATTTAAATAAAAGTGGAAAAGAGAAGAAAATGAAAAGAATTTCAAAGTCTCAGACCTGCGCATACACCGCAAACGGTGCTGCTGCAGCTGCTGCTCCGTATTCATTTCCGGATTTGAAAAAAACTTTTTCCGAAAGTCCTTCTTCTCCATCCTGTTGAACAGAAGCAGAAGCAACTGGAAAGCCCCCAAACAGCAGCAGCAGCAGCAGCAGCAGCAGCAGCAGCAGCAGCAGCAGCAGCAGCAGCAGCAGCAGCAGGGGTAGCTGCAGCGGCAGCCTGAAAGGCAGGCAAAGAGCGGAAGCAGATGCACCGGAACTAGCAGCAGCAGCAGCAGCAGCAGCTGCTGCTGCTGCTGCTTCTAGTTTCGGTGCATCTGTAGAGGCACCGCAGCCAGCAGCAGCAGCAGCAGCAGCAGCAGCAGCAGCAGCAGCAGGAGTTTACCGTGGAGACATAGACTCCTTGGAGGCCTCTGCGGAGGAGGGACTTGCGGAAGTAGAGGGCGGAGAAGAAAAGAAATAAACGCGAAGTCGAAAAGAAAAGAAAAAAAAAAGAAACTAAAAATCCACTCCACCAGAGGAGGGGGTTGGAAGTGCTGCAGCTAGTGCAGTGTGTATGTACACCTGAAAGCGGGGATTTCAACTTAATTAGAACTTTATTTATTAAAATAAATAAAGTTTTAATTAATTAATTGTGGAGGAAACAAAGAGAAAAAAAAATAGTTGGGAGAAATAAAAGAATAAAACCGGAGTTGGGTTTCTTGCAAAGAAAGAAAGAAGGAAACTTTGAATTAATTGTTCAAATGAATTAATTCTTCAAATGGAAAAATAAAGAAAACTTTTCTCACCAATTCCGATGAAGCTGTTCAGCAGCATTGCGGGAATTAAAAGTTTCTGCAAAAAGATGAAAAGTTGAATTTGAATTTTGAATTCAAGAAGTTACTTTTGCTGCGCGCAAGGCCGCGTCCAAGTGGTTTCTTTCTTTTCCTTCTCTGCTGAGCTGCAGTGAAAAAGCAAAGAAATAAAACAAAAAAGAATTTAATTATTTTAATTATTTTAATTGATTTAATTGTTTTATTGTTTGTTTCAAATAAAGGAGTTGCTGCTTCACCTGGACTCCTTGGAGGCAAAGCAGAAAGCCCAGCAGCAAACAAAAAGAGGAAATCCAAAGCTGAACGGCCTTGCAGTCTGGCGACAAGTGTTTTTGTTCTCTAAAACAAACTCCGCTGAAAAGTTGAGATTTGAAAACTGAAAATTCATTTCAAGTTCAACTCCAACTCACACGAGGCAAAGCAAAAAGAGGAACTGCGCGCAAAGGAAAAGCCTCGCGGGCGAAAGCTGCGGCTCTTCCGCCTCCGAAGACGAGGCCATATTCGGGAAGAAGGAAATTTCAGAGAGATGTTGCGAAATTAAGAAGTTCTTTGTCAATATTTCAACAAAATCTGCAGATTTATGTTTCTAAACATCTGTTTTCGCGCAGGTTTCCCGCGGCGCTGCGGCACCGAGCTGCAGATACACCCGAAGGCCTGCGCTGCGACCGCGTTTCTCGACTCGAATAAAACAGAATTTTCTGAATGTTTTCTCCCCTAATGAATTTCTGAATGAATTTCTGAATGAATTTCTGAATGAATTTCTGAATTAAGTTCTGAACGAAGTTCTGAACTAAGTTCCTAATTAACATCTTTTGAACTGCCCCTCTGCCGCGGCGGGGCTGCGGGAAGCAGCAGCGCAGTCAGCAGCAGCAAAGCAGTGCAGAAAGTTGAATGAAAAATCAGCGCAAGAAAACTCCCAACTCCGACGCGGAAAGCTGCGGAAAGCTGCGCCAAACTTGCCGAGTTTCGCAGAGCTTTTTGCAAGTTGAATTCATCAATTTGCAAGTTGAATTCATCACTTTTGCAAGTTGAATTCACTTTTTGCAAGTTGAATTCATCAATTTGCAAGTTGAATTCACTTTTGCAAGTTGAATTCATCAATTTGCAAGTTGAATTCACTTTTGCAAGTTGAATTCATCAATTTGCAAGTTGAATTCATCAGTTTTGCAAGTTGAATTCACTTTTTGCAAGTTGAATTCAGTTTCTTTACTGTTTGCAAGTTGAATTCCCTTTTTGCAAGTTCCATCCCAATTTCCAAGTAGAATTCCTTCTTTGCAAGTTGAATTCTTTTGCAAGTTTCTTCCCAATTCCAAGTTGAATTCTTTTGCAAGTTTCTTCCCAATTCCAAGTTGAATTCTTTTGCAAGTATCTTCCCAATTCCAAGTAGAATTCCTTCAAAACTTCCTGACTTTTTCACTTCTTCTTGGGCACTCGATACTGTCCAATGACAACAGCATGATCTCGATGATAAGGCTCAAGAGTGAGTTGTTCTTTCGGTTTGCACTTCTCCTTTCTGAGTTTATCGACTTCAGCAGCAAAAACAGCCTCAGGCCTCGCCGTGGAGTCCACGCAGCTGGCCTTAATCGAAATCAAAAACCAGCCAGAGTCCTTCAGAAACAAACTCGCGTTCAACGCCAAGATCCTGGCTTGATCAGGTTGCGCAACATCTGCAAAAAGAACATCAACTGAGTCCACAAGCATGCGGTACTTCAGCGGCTGCCGCGCGTCTTCGAGAATCGGAATTATATTATTTCTTTTTTTCGCCAAGTCCGTCAAGTCCCGCCCCGCCCTTGCGGAGAACTCCACCGCAAAAACCACTCCAGAAGGCCCCACAATATCTGAAACGTGAGAGACTGTAGTGCCATTTGCTGCTCCCAAGTACAAGACTTTGCTGCCAGGTTTAATTGGCATGTGGGCCACTCCGCCGGCCAGCGTGGCCCCCAGCTTGGACCTGAAGGGGTTCCAGATGCGAAATTCCGTTTTTTCGCCAGAGTCCAAACTCGCTTCTATTCGCTTTTCTCCGTAAACACTCTCTCCTGGGACTAAGTTTTTTGTGACGAGAGAATCCGCTTTTCCCTTGGCCAAGAAGACCCCTTCGAAGCGGTGCGGGACCACCACTACTTTCCCGGGGGCCCCCCGGCCCCGGGGGGGGCCCCCACGGCCGCGGGGGCCCCCCCCCCCCCCCCCCGGGGAATACTTCCGGCCGCCCGCGCCCCG